ATATATATATATATATATACAAAAACCATATTTGATTTAATTTATTTACTGTAAGTAAACGTTTAGTTGACACCATTCAAATAAATAATTATTAAAATTTAGAATATTTGTTCCTTATATCTATATAGATTAATTTTAATCTTGCTTCAATTTACTCTTCATCTTTTTCCAATTCTTAGAACTAAAAAAAGACGAAGAGTTAGTTGAACCAAGATTAAAGTTAATCTACACATTTGCAGAAATGGACATTATAAGTGTTAAGGGCCCGTTTCTACCAATGTAGATTAACTTTAATCTTGGTTCAACTAACTCTTCATCTCTTTCTACTTCTAGAAATTAGAAAAAAATGAAGAATAAGTTGAACCAAGATTAAAGTTAATCTACGTTGATAGAAACGGGCCATAATCATTTAAACAAAGGAATTTGGCCAAAGTTATTCCTATCGACCAACTGCTCTAGGAGTTAAAGTCGTAGATCGCCACGGCGGATACGGTCCAGGAGAAGTCTCAAGAGACTCGTGTACATCATTTTGACTCTCTCCTGCCCGTGGCTACGAAAGCATCATCGCCGTGATCCACCGATTCCACGAGTTCCACGACGGTCGGCTTCGAGTCGCCTCGACGTCGACGGTCGACGCCGCGCGAGCACAGCGCCGCCGCGTTATAAATACCGCGGGGATGGGGAAGGGGAGGGAGGTACGCGCGTGTATGTACGCGTAATTTTTGTACCTTTGGGGAACACGCAGAAGTAGATCGCTTTGCCCCAGCCATTCTCGGGCGGATGCAGACGGCCATCGACTAGTCGAACGCCGCGCATCGTACGGGACTCCGGGTTGCGGTATTTGAGGCCGCAAGTGCCGGGAAACTGGGCGGATAGGGTGGTGAGCAGGAGCGTGGTGTCGTCCTCGGTCGGCAGCTCGATCGGCTCCTCACCCTCGTCCTCAGCTACCTGGATGTAGGACGACATCGTGTTGCTTCCGTTCGTCACAAAGCTGATCCCTTTATCAATCGGACGGCCGACACTACTGTTCTCCCCCGCTGGTCACCCTCGTTCTCTTCCTCACTCACTCTATCTCTCTCGCTCGCTCTCTTGCTCTCTCACTCTTTCTTCCTCGCTTCTCCCGATTACTCCGCACCCGGTTCGTTTTTCCTAGTTACGTCCGCTTATGCTCGCGTATTACCCGAAAAGGCGGAGAACGCGGAGAACCTTGTAAAACTCGTTTACGCTTAACAACACAACAAACACACACGCGCCACGATCGCTCGCACCAGTCACGCAACACCGCACCTCTTTCTCTCCGTTCTTCTCGGTTCTCTTTGACGACACAGCGGTCGCCGCTGGCGCCACCGGAAGTTAAGCACGGCCGCGCCACGACATCTGGAAAATTCCATATTGGCGAGTCCGACACGACGACTCGAATTTCCAGCGAAAAACGCACGAGCGTTGTATTTTTCTAATCATGCGCTCGAAAGATAAAGAATTCGTAATGATTCATCCGACACACGCGACGAAATCGTCGGGCATGTGGTGCGAGATCTAGATGGTTGCCGCGGATGAGCGTCGCGACGCGGTCGACGCGTAGGAATATCATCGAACGCGCGGACGCCGCGCACAATGGCGCCGATGGCGCGGGCGGACTGACAGCGCGCCATCGATTTTCCGGCGAATGCGACATGCCGCTTTTCCGGCTATACATATATACGAAAAAGCCACCCGGCACTCGCCGGCTTGCCGACAAAATGACTAACAATTATTAAATTTTTCTCGTCATCCGAATTACAGCAATGAATCAGTTATTAACGATGAAAAAAGAAGCGAAGCGACAATTTTGTGCCAGCTAGGTTTTATGAAATGTATTTTGCGAGACATGAACTTGAATTTTTTTTTTTAACTTATTGTTATTAATGTAAAATGCAAAATATTGATATTGTTGATCTGATTTATTGTACATGAGTGCGGTTTGAAAAATATTAAGTCAGTGGCGTACGATGTATTTTTTTTGTTGGATTGTTTACATTCTAGTAAATTACTATAAAATTGCACTCCACACAGAACGAAGAATTTCCAATAATTTACTTTAAATCCAAGCAATCCGGTAAGAAAATTTGCATCATGTGCCGTAGACTTTATTGTCGACTACGAGATTTGGAAATTTCTATGGTACCGACTATGAGGCTTGTAAATTTCTATGGTATCCTTGGTGAAAATTTTTCTCACAATTTTTATACGAATTGGAACATTTTTCAGAAATACTCAGAAATATTCGGAAAGTTTACATCTTCTCTCACAATTTTTCATACAAGTGAATTCTGAAATATTCTGAAATTTCTCATCCCATAATTTTTAATTTACTTTTAATTTCGAAATCAAAACGATGTCTTTTCGAGGAACTATTTCTGACTGGGCTAGCGGATTACTGCTTATAAATGTTACCAATTCGTAGAAAATATAACTATGGTGCCTCAAGGGTTTTTGTTGTTACCAACATTACCCCCTCTTTTTTTATGAAAATTGTGTAACCAGTTACCATAAGATCACCAAGTTCAATTAACTTAACTGGCCAGTTAGTCCATCGGAATTGACCAATCGCATTTGTCATTTTGTTTGAAGCAAATAAAATGACAGTCAGTTCGACGCTGCGCAGTGGCGCGATCTGACGGTATCGATTAGAGTCCCTAGAAGTAGAGAGTCTGGACATTCAGCGGAAGTGATCTCAAAATGGCGATGAATATGTGTGTATACTCTAGGCTGTGTTCGCTTTGGCGATCACAACGCTTTAAGCGTTGCTTCATCCTTGTTTTTTATTAAATATTAAACAAGGACAATTGATGCTTACAAGCGCTGCAATGTTAGATTCACACTGCATCCGATTTTCGTCGTACGACGCT